TTGCCCGGTGTGTTGCCGAGGTCATCTTAAGCCTAGACACCTCCGAAACCTTTGTCACTTAGAACTATCATGGAACCCCGTTGGTTGACGTCCATCTTCACCCTGGCATATTGGCCGAGATGTCACCATCTAGGCCGAGGTGCGCGTCGCCTAGGCCGAGAAGTGCGTCATCTGGGCCGAGATGTTAATATCTAGGCGTTCTAGATCCTTGATCCTTGCATGAGTGATTTTGTTCCTGGAATGGTATGACCTAGACCGAGGTGTGGCACATCTAGGCCAAGGTGTGGCACAGTTTAGTCAAGTGTTGTCCTTCCAAGCCGATGTCCTTGCCCCTTGATTGCCGGAGTCTTGTTTTTAGCCGATGTCGTTACTTGCCGGTGTGTTTTGCTGCCTAGCTTGTTGAGTACGCCTTGTCTTGGTCTTGTCTTGTCAAGTCAGTCACCTTTTTGAGTTGAGCGAATTAGCCGATGCCACGTGTCCCGACAGAGGGATTAAGTCAGTGTTTGTCGTGTGAAGCAGATCATTTTTGTATCAGTCTTGCCTTTTAGAGAGAGAAACTCAAGGAAGAAGAAGGAGAAGTTTGAGCTAGAGAGGGTGACTTCCAAGCTTGATCGTTAGAGCTTGAGCCGATAGATTCGAGATTTGAGGTTAGAATCTTAACCTATTCTTGTTGTTCTTATTCATCATCTAGCTGCATTGCACGATCAGACCTGTTCTACACGCCATTCATCGATTTAAAGTTGATTTTAGAAAGAGAAAACGGTTTTCATGTGTTTTTGAAGAAAAGCCTCGTTTGATCCGAAAGTTTGCATTAAGGTTCATGTTTTTGTGTTTGTTTTGATAAGATCCTTGAGTGTGGGTACCCAGGTCCAAGTTTTTGAATTCATAGCATGAAGTCTCAGCTATTGAAATAGTAAGTTTTGATCTTTGCATTCATCTTCCTCATGTTCATGTTCTTCAAGTTCTTCATGCTCATGTTCTTCACGTTTATCAAGAGGGAAACCCAGATTTTTCCCGACTTCGCTTTTGAATGTGGCCATCGAGGCTACACCTCGGCAAGGAAGTGTGGGACCTCGGCCTAGACCTGGTAGTTGCCCAGCGTGTTTTTCCAAAGATAGGAAACTGTGTTTCGATTTGATTGACTTAGTTTTTGAAGGATGTCGAGGTCATTTGCATGTAAGCTAGACTTGTTTTGAGTAGTGCATTCAATAGACTTTGCCATGTATTGTAGGACTTGGACTTGCCTTGACCCCGATGTTTGAAGAACTAGGTGAGTGGTATTTTTAATAAAGCTATGTTTTACGTTTTGATAAAGACTTTGCTTTGTCTTGCTTTGAAAGTGTTTGTAAAGCATGAATAATTGTCCCTGTTTTGTATATCAAGTATGAGTTTGTTTTGATGACCTCCTTGGGAAGTCCTTAGTGCCAGGGGACAATAATGCAACTGCACATCTCGTTTTGAAAGCCCCTTGTGCTGGAGGACTCTAAAACTTATTCGCAGCACATCTTGTTTTTGAAAGTCCCTTGTGCTGAGGACTCTAAACTTTCGCAGCACCCTTGATTTGGTACTCTAGTGTTAAGGGCTACGGCCTTTGTAACATAGGTCCCTCGTGCTGGAGGACTCTAAACTTTCGCAGCACATCTTGCCTTGAAAGTCCCTTGTGCTAGAGGACTCTAAACTTTTGTAGCACCCTCGTTTGAGATGCCTATCTTGCTTTGTCTTGCTTTGCCACGGACGGTTTACCGCGTGGATATGTTTGCCGGAATGTTATTGTTTGTAATATGTGATGCTAGTAAGTATCCCTTGAAACTTTGAAGATTTGTTAGATGGACGAGGTCCATTCCTTGTTATATATAGAGTTTGTCTTGTATTGTTTTGAAAGGGATTTCGGCTATTATTCATGCAAACCCCTTTATTATTTATACCATTCACTGAGTATCCAAGCTCACCCTCTCTATATATATGTAGGTGATGAGCAGGAAGGCGGTGACGCCTAGATGTGAATCTAGAGCTTATTTTGGATTTTGATTATGTCGGCCTAACCTGTAATTACGTCGGCAGTCTTGAAAATTATGCTTCTCGATTTGTAGTACTTGTATGTTGCATACGTCGGCTTGAGAAGCCTTTTGATCAAGATGCGTGTTTTGTATACATGTTATGTCAGTAGTGAGGATGTCAGCAATTCTGAAGCTTTTGCTTCTAGCTGTATTTCTTGTATTTTGTTCATGTCGGCTTGTGAAGCCCTTTTGTTAATATGAAAGATGTAATTTGTACTTTGTTTCGTTTGTAATTGAGTTGTAACCCATCTGCAAATGATTGCTATCTCATTTGATTTATGCACAGCTCTTATGGACTAATCTGTTTGTATAAATCGCTTCCGTACTTGTTAGCCCCATATAATTGTACTCTGATTGTGTGTGAAGTGTGAATTTTGTAAGTTGACCTTCGGTAATCTCGGATTACTGGCCATCACGGCACCAAACTACTAGGGGCGGTTTGGGGTCGTGACATACATGTATATACATAAATGGCGGGATTTGATCTTCTCATATTTGAGATGTAAGATCTGCGATGGTGCGGAGGAGATGGGATCTACTTAGATCCACCCAGATCTGTCGTGGTTGGAACCGAAGCGGAAGTATGAAGGTTCGGCGGTGGCGCAGAGGAGGAGGAGGAGGAGGAGGCGACGGAGAAGGAGGAGATGGGGGTGTGCGTACTGTCGCGGAGGAGGAGATGACGTCGTCGCCACTGGGGAGAGGAGATCGCACTCGCCGTCGCCACTAGAGAGAGGAAATTGCACTCGGATCGCCACTGGGTAGAGGAGTGAGTGAGAGAGTAGAGAGTAGAGAGAAGAGTGAGTGTGAGAATGGACAGATCAGAGGACATAGGGATAGGGGAGGGGATGTATATGTGAATGAATAAAGGGGGTACGAGGGTAATTTCATTTCGGGGTAGAACCGGGGGCGTTGGCGGGGCCGGGGTCGGGACCGGGCCGGGGTCGGGGCTGTGATAGCTATCCTCGTCCCCGCCCCGAAATTGATCGGGGATTCAATTTTAAATACCGTCCCCGGCCCGTCGGGAGTATTTTTTGGAGAAAAACTGCTCGTATCGGGGAGGGGGGGTCGGGTCCCCGTCGGTCCAGGTTCAAATTGCCATCCCTAGCTGGAGGAGGTGAATGGACCAGTTCCAGAGCTTCGAAGGGCTTGGAAATGGAGGTTTGGGAACTTTAGACAAAGAGTTTGAATAGAGAGAGAGGAACTTTAGAGAGAGAGAGAGAGAGAGAGAGGAGTTTTGTCAAAAATACGAAAAGACTGTAAACCATAATGAATTAGCCTTGGACGACGTGCTTGTCAGGCGGCGTGGGCAGAAGCGACGCAACCTGATAGCGTATCAGGTACGAACCAATAAGGAAACATATGGAGGAAACGGTAGAAAAGACTGTGCGTGACAACTCATGCGCAGTTAGAACTCTTGAAATTCTTGAAGTAATGAGGCCATAACCTCGGCTAGAGAAATGACCTCGGTTTAGATGCTTAAAAAACTTGATTCTTGGTTCTTGATCCTTGGTAAAGTGGACAACTAAGTCTTAGTTAAAAGAGTCAACGAATCATGATCTCGGTCAAAGAGAAGAATGAATTTTTAGCCGACATGTAATGTGGACAAACGATGTAGGTACCATCACCTCAAGTTGCCGAGGTAATAGAACCTAGGGGGTAGTTGTGGGGAAGTGTTTTGTGAATGACAGCACATGGCTAAGGTGGCACCAACGCGTCAGCTAAGGTGTCACATGGCCTGGTCACGTTGTCGAGATGATCTCGGCTAGGCTGAGGATATTTGTGGATATATCAGAATCTAAGATAAGCAGATAAGGGATAAGAGTTCTAGAATAGGGGAGGATCTCAGTCTGGATAATGATAAGGCTTAAGAAAAGTTTTATCTGTATCTAGCTGCGGGTCCAGGATGAGCATTAAGCCTCAGTCCATTAAAGTGAGGCTTCTAAAGAGATCAGGTCACTACTGGTTATAAAAATAAGACACTCTCGTACATCAAAGGTAAGTTCTTTCTTATGAGTTTAAACACAATTTCCTATTTTTGAGAGATATTGATACTAACTTGATCGTCGGAGTGCCCCTGGGTGGACGAACTACTGCCGGATTCTTATCTTCTTGTTACAGGTTGTTGGGCTTAATTTATTTTGCCGGTGCTCTCCAGCTTAGTTCCCCTTTTGGTTGTGTAGTCGGAAATCTACACCCACAAGAATACATTACAAATAAAATCAGTATTCATCCAGAAATGATGATTCCTATGAAAATCTAAGAAATTATTTAATTATGTTACATTTCATTTTAATGAATCAAACAGGCTTTAAAAAAAAAAATTAATGATTTACTTCATGTGCAATGCTTCTCGTGCTGACTCATGGGTGAAAACTAACACTACAACAAAATGTACTTTTGGTGGCTAAAATTGGTGACTAAAAAATATTTAGTCGCCAAAAGTTGTGAAATTGGCGACCAAAAATTTTTTTAGTCGGCAAAAGTACAACATTTAGGTACTAATGTTTTTTAGTCGGGCTATATTGATTATTGGTGACTAAAAAAAAATTTAGTCGCTAAAAATACCAAAATTGGCAAAAAAAAAAAATTTTAGTCGCCATATATAGAGTTTTGGCCACTAAAACCATTTAGTCGCCGAATGTAAAATAAAAAATTATTTTTTATATTTGGCGACCAAATGTTTGGCCGCCAAAAACATATTTTTAGCGACAAAAAAATATTTTAGTCGCCATATATTGAGTTTTGGCTACTAAAATCATTTAGTCGCCGAATGGAAAACAAAAAATTATTTTTTACCTTTGGCGACCAAAATTTTGGTCGACAAAAGTTTATTTTCAGCGACAAAAAAAATTTTTAGTTGCCAAAGAACTAAAATTTTTGGAAGGAGATATTTCAAATATTTTGGAGCGATTTATAATATATTTTCAGCGACTAAGAAATTTTTGTCGCCAATAACCATCTATGTAAAATATCTCACGCCCTTACTCTTCTCTCTCATCCTCTCTCATCTCTCTTTCTCTCATTCCATAGAGAGCTGCCAGCCATCGTTGCAAGGAGCACCCATCTCCGACCAGCCACCGTCGCACACGAGCACCTATCTCCGACTAGCAACAGTACCACATCGCACACCGCGGACAGTTGGTATTTCTTCTCCCCCTTCCCCTTCCCCTTCCCCTTCCTCTCTCTCTCTCTCTCTCTCTCTCTTTCTCTCTCTCTCTCTTTGTCTGAAAAATTTTTGGGTGCAAGCATTTGAATCTGTGAACAGAAAGAGAAACAACTAAGGTTCAGAGGTATGGATCAGTGATTCCCATTTCTGGATCGGATTTTGTACGTGAGGTCTCCCAAGCTCCTCCAGATGTTTGGGTAGTAGTGATTTTGGACAAGGATGGGTATGTAATAATTATTTTTTGAAAAATTTTATACTTCCATTGTTGCATTACTTGAGTTATGCTTTGATATGGATTTGTGGTGGAGCTATTTGGGAAGGAAAAGGGAAAGAAAAAGAAGCTAACCGCCCGCCAATCTGGCGGATGTGGATTGAGCGGATTGGCGGTTTGGCGGATGGATGCGAATCGGTTTGGCGGTTTAAAATTTAATAAAATTTCAACATAATTCAGCTTTTGCACTTCCTCAAAAAAAAAGAAGAAGAAAGTATTACAATCAATGACTTAAAAAAATATTACAATCATTGCATGCCTGATCCAAAGTAAGAAAGTTGAAACTTTAGAATATCATAATCACCGCATGCCTCATCCACATAAAGTATTACAATCTGTGGTTCTTAAAATATAAAAACAATTCAAACCACCAAAATCATAAACATAGCAGTAGTAGAGATTGTATGTCTCTGTATTGTTACATCTATATTTGTTTTTGAAAACGAAAACCAACCAGCATATATCATATTTTCTATTTATTATTTTTAGAGATAGATTTAAAAACTAAAAAATATAGATAAATAATACATTTATTTTTTTCAATTCAAAAAAGATATTCAAGTTGAAAACTTTTTTTCAACAGAATATTTAAACTCTTTTTTAATTGAAAACACAAACAGAATATTTAAACAAACTAAAAACACAAAGTCTTATAAATTACTAGTGGTGCTCGCGGTTTGGCGGTTCGGTTGCGGCCAAAGGAATCTCAAATCCGCCATCCGTTCGCCAGATTGGCAGATTGGAGAAAATCAATCCGCAACCGTCCGCTCGTCATCACGCATCCGTCCAAAATGCGGCGGATCGGTTCGGTTCGGTTCGGTCGGTTTTGGCGGATCGGTACATCCGCTGCTCACCCCTACCTCCAGATGTTTGGGTAGTAGTGATTTTGTACGAGGATGGGTATGTAATAATTATTTTTTGAAAAATTTTATACTTCCATTGTTGCATTACTTGAGTTATGCTTTGATATGGATTTGTGGTGGAGCTATTTGGGAAGGAAAAGGGAAAGAAAAAGAAGCTAAATTTATTTATTTATTTCTGTTGATAAATTCAAGGTCTAAACATAGCATTATGGAATTGATTGTTGTTTCTTCTTAGATGTTTATAGCTCAATTCTGTCCACTATACATGTCTTTGGATGTGGATGCATTCCTAAATGCTTATTCATGTTTGTATTGATCTCTGTTTTAATTTTTGTTAAGGTTCCTAGCTTTGTGTCTGCTAGGTGTTTGATCAAATGCCGCAAACAAACTTTGAATTTTATTTTCCTTGACTGTGAAAAGCATAAGAGTTGTAAAGCATTTCTTTTGACTTCACAGACTAAACTCATTATTGGGTTAATTGTCAAGGTGCAATGTACCACCACAACTTTGAAAATATAGAAAAGTTCGTTTGCTTTATGTTTTCTTCTACCTAAGATGCAATGGGTTCACTTTTAATAAATATATATTATTTTTTTGCAATTACTCATACGTATGGTACTAATGAAAAAGAGTGAACTTGTCCGGTCTGTGATTAACAACTTTGTTTTGAAGGCGCCGTTTATTTCAATTAGCTGCTTCACTAATTTTCCCTCATTTAGTCGTGCTATATCAGTTATAATAATATTGAGCTGTTCATCTTAAATTAACTGTCATAGCTAACTGTCCATTTTACCATCCTATGGCTGTCTGAGAAGCCCAAAATTGGGTCTACACAGTTTAAACATGATTGTTTCCTCATTTTGCCGCTCAGTAAACAATGTTGATACTTATGGCAAGACAAGACAAGACAGAAAATGTAGAATTATAAGACCTACTTCAAGTTGGTTCTCCTATTTTCTTTTTCAAGAGAGAAAATAAATAAATAAAACTGAACCAGGTCCCAATTAGCCTGACCAGAATTGCTGAACACAAGAACAGCCCTCAGATTCAAGGAAAGGGGGAGATGTTGATTAGCTTTTCTGTGTAAGGGAAATAATTTTATTTATCCATCCAATTATTCTCATCTGTTTATGTTCAAAGCTTTGCAGGTCATTGGTTAAAAGTCTAGAGAAGATTGACCCAAGGAAGATGAAACGCGAAGAAAAGCTTGCATTTTGGATCAACATTCGCAATGCCTTGGTGATGCATGTATGGCTTACAAAACTTTGAACTTTCCTTCTAAAATTAGCTTACTAACAAAGCACGTACTCTTGAGACATAATTGTTGAATAAACACTATAACAAATGGAGGAAATACATGCCTGGAAACCACATTATAAACAACATTCCTATCAGAAGATGTAGAATGTTCAAAACCCTGCTAAGGGTACTTCTCGTTTGGTAGCAACTTATACATGGACCTTTGTTTGATGTTTCAATTGTGCAACTTATAGATTAAAGATTTATTTATTTATTTATTTTTTTCTGTAGAAATATATGGATGTTTCTTCTCATTTTTTGAAGGTATTTGCACTATTGTCAAATATTTTGAACACCCTACACCTCATTTTTTATTTTTTTATTTTTTAATATGTACAAAGTTAGCTGGTTGGCCATGAGTCCATGCATATCACTAAAAGGTTAGAGGTTCAACATATAGTTGATTTACACGTATAGTTGCTCTTGAAACTATTGATTCAATACAAATACCATGATTAAAGTTACCATATATAGTTGATTTACACATACGTCGCAAAAAGTTATTTTGCCGTCGCAAAAAGTATTAGCGACGGCAGTAGGAGTATTAGCGACGGTATTTTACCGTCGCAAAAAGTCAATTTTTTTGTAGTGAATCCTAGGTATTTGCTTCTACATCAGGTACTAGTATGAGAATAACAGAACAATGGATGTTTCTTCTCCTGATGTGAGCTCACCGTTATAATATCACCTTTATGTTAATGGAAAAATTGGACTTAATGTACCTTCAAAGGGAACTCAAAATCAACTTCTTGAAAGACAGATCATTTTTTTGGGGGTAGCCTATTATATGCATTTGTGCTGCTTACCTTTTTTCATTTGTAGTAACTATTTAAGCATCTTCTTTCCAATTTTTCAGAACTCAATTAATTAGCATTACTTTGCTCATCTTGCTATCCATTTGTTATTTTGAGTGGTGGTTCACGTTTTTTATTCACTTTATGTTCTTCTTTGTGTCACTAGATTCCTTCTTAATCTTTTTTTACATTTGGATTATTTGCTTAAAACAATTATGTTAGATGAGAAATTAATAGGTAGATGAGAACGACGAAGAGTTGCCTGATTTTTACAAATTCTATGAGAAGTGTCACAAGTCGAAGAAGATGAATGACTGGATTGATTGCCTATGTGGTGACCTATATGTAAGAATTTAACAATAGATCAATTGACTGGATTTGGAATCGGCCCACGACTCTATTCTACCATATCCAAAGTTGCATCAAGAGCATGTGATAAAGAGATGGAGACCTCGAGATTGGAGATCAAAAACATGTATACTTGATATGTTTTGTTATTAAGATTTTATTTAATTTGGATTTTAATTGTTGGTTTGGATAGTATATGTATTTGTTGGATTATACTATGTTTATGGATTCTTATTTTCTTTGATATGTACGATTAATAGTTAAGTTTTGTATATGGTTGGAAATTGAATGCTACAAGTTGTGGAGAAATATTTTTATTGAATGGTTGAGAATTGAATGAATAAATGAATGGATGAATAATTTTGTATATGCACAGGTTATAGGTGACGCAAAAATATTACAGAACAAATTATAAAAACCAAATGAGACATTTTGGCGACTAAACAAATATCACAAGTTGGCTTTTGGCTACTAAAATTTTAGTCACCAATTGTAAAAAAAGTGAATTTTGGTTACTAAACATTTAGTTGCCAATTAAAAAAAAAAGAAACTTTTGACTACTAAATTTGTAGTCGTCAATTCTAAAAAAGTAAAACTTTTGGCTACTAAATAGTTGGTCACCAAACATATATGCTCAATTGGCTACTAAATAATTTAGTCGTTAAAAGTAAAAAATATATATATTTAATTATTTTTAAAAAATATATGGCGACTAAAATTTTAGTTGCCAATAGGTCACTTTTGGCTACCAAAAAAATTTTACTCACCGATCGTTTCCTCGACAAACTGTTGGCGACCAAAAATATTAGTCGTCAAAAGTAATTGACAACTAAAAATAAGATTTTTGACGATTAAAATTTTAGTCGCAAAAAGTAAAATTTCTTGTAGCGTGTAACGTTCGTAATATTCCGGTTTCGAGCTTAAGGACGAAAAATAAAAACGTGGAATCACCTCAGAAAGAATTGAACTCGAACAAGTGGTGTTGCACGTACGACAAGGTGTCCCACACGTTCAGATTAGTGCAAGCCTTGAAGAGTTTCTAGGGGAAGAGCTCTACCCGTGCGGAGAAGTGAGCCACACGTGTGGCGAAGAGGAGCAAGCATTAGTTGGAGACTATTGGAAACCACACGTGCGGCCAAGGGGCACTGCACATATGGCCTAGCACCTTTTTGACCTTGAAATTCATGCCATTTCACACAAAATCTATCTCCCTCTCTTTTCTCCCATTTCTCTCAACCGTCTCTCTCAAAACTTTGTTTTCTCTCCCTTGTCTCTAAAACAAACATCAAACTTCACAATTTCTCAATCCAACAAAATCAAGCAAGATTTTGACCCTAGTTCTTTGGACAAAGAGTGTAGAGTGTCGTTTTGGACCGGACCAATCGTTGATCCAACATTTTTGAAATTTTCAAAGTTCTCCTCTTCTCTCCAAGAAGTAAGGATTTCTCTAATTTCTTTTAATATGATTTTATAGGCAGATATGTGATATTTTTATTGTATAAATTTAAAAAAATTTATAGAGATTTCAAAGCATGAATGATGAGAACTTTGCGTTTGATTTGTGTTGTGTAATTCTTAAATTATTCTCTATCAAATATGAGTTTTAGAAGTATTGGAATACATGGATACTTCAAAATAGAAAGGCCCTAAATATTCAAAGAAAGCCCTAATTTTCTTGAAAGTATATAATTTGGAAAAATTGAAATTTTATGCTCATCGGGAAATTTGGAATTGAATATTATTAATTGAAAAATGATGAGAATAGAGACCATATATGTTGGGTAATTGATTGAGATTGATAGCAAATTGAGAATTGTTCTACTTTATACATTTATTGAATTCTTTGAGAATAATGTTATATATTGTGCTTAGTTATTTTCTAATATTGTTTAATTGAAATATTTTGATAGAGATAATTGTTATTGGCAATCGGTAGAGGATTACATTGTTGTAGAAATATTTTAACCTAGAGTGAATTGAAACCTAATTGTAATTGACTAATGAGATAGAGATTTATTTGGTGATGTAATTTTCTATAGGTGGGCCTACATAGATTAAATAATTATATATTATATAATGTTAAATAAAATATGAGTGATATCGGTTAGACCTATTAAATTGTGATCCATACATAAACATGACCGGATCATGGACACATCTCTAATAGCACATATTTTTTGTCATACTATGTGCACTAAATGAGTATGAATTGAACCATATGTGTAGAGACCAGTTTAGTCCACTTGTAATTGTATTATTTATAATGGGCTAATATGAAATTAGGACAGCCTCCATCTCATATTTTTCCTTATTAGTGTGTGAGAGAAACAAGAGTAGAGTTCTAGAGTAGAAGACGATAACCACCAAAAAGTCTATCGCTTAGATTATCTTAATCAATGGTGTCAGATACACAAATGTTTTTTTTTTTCATTGATTTGACTTGTGATCTTGGGGTTTAGATTTCTATTGAAATACCACAAGTGATGGAAATGCTTGGATTTTATGAGTTAAGCGTTCGAGTAATTTGAAAAGGAATGAATGAAAATAATTTGAAATACACTCGTTATGTTTAATGTGTTGTGCTATATAGAGGTACCATGTTCCTTTTGGTTAGCAATCAGTGAAGTGGGATTGTTATGTGGGGTTTGGCGAGACCACTGAAATATATATGTATTTGAGACTCATCGTTGGTGTATGTATATGAGTCGAGATTCTTTTTGATGGATGGGTGTGTGGAGAATTATTTTTGGGTCATGCATAGTATCAGAACTAGTTATGGGTTTTGTTTAATGAGTTTGTTTGATGCTAGTATATAAGTTGGATATTGCAATTGGACGGTCCAGTCTACCTCATTTTGGGATTATTTTGGGTTCATCACGATGATCAAAATCGTTCAATATGTAAGATTCGTCAAGTATTTGATCCTTGAAAAAATCACATTGATTAGATATTAATAACTACTTAACTAGATCACATTTTGTCAACAATTTATTTTTAAAATCATATTTATCGTTTATACAAATTTGATCTGATCAAGTAGTTATCGATATTCGATTAATGTAATTTTATGCAAGGGTGAATTACTCGATAAGTCATATACATTAAACGTTTCAGATCATCGATGTGAGTTCTATGGAGGGCCCAAGAAGGCGTAACAGCATGCTGCAATTCAATTTTAGACTGAAGATAAGTATGAGCCTATATAATACGTTATGTAATTTTCTACTTTATTTTGAGATATTAATGTGTCTCTAAACTTGAAAATATAATCCCAATTCAATTTGGTGGTCGAATGTAGGAGAAAATTTTGTTGACCATCAAATATAATTTGTCTTCTACAATGTCATTTATTTGCTGAATTTTTGAAAAATTCAAGAAAATTTAGAAGAAAAAAAAATATTATAGTTAGATAATAATGTGAGTTTTTTTTTTTTTTTTAGAGTGAACCTTAAAAAAATTGTGATATTTATAAATGTGAATATTCATACTTTAAATAAATAAAATATTGTGAATTTTAAAAAGTGTAAAACTGGTCTGAATATTCACACTTTTCAAAAAAAAAAATATATATTCACATTTTTCTTATTTATTCATATTATTTTTGTCCAGAGCAAGTGTGAACATTTACATATTTTATTTTATAAAATTACAAAAATCAGCCAACAAAAGTTATAACCTTATAAGATATCTTTAGGATTTAATATGAAATTGTAAAATTTATTTTATTTTATTTTATTTTTATATTTGAGATTTCACACTATATTAGGATATCTAAGATAATATTCTATTTTATATCTTGTCAATCATTAATCAATCATCATTAGATCTAAAAAAATTAATTTATAAAGCAAACTTGTATATCATTTTTCTTTTTCTTTTACCTAAGTACTTTTAAATACACTAAAATCTTGTATTGGTACTTTTCCTCAATGTACATTGGAGATTTGGTGAGAGGAATTTTAGGTGATTGTCGGATTAAGTTAATTAAAATTATGGATACATTAAAATTAAGAATGAAATTACTAGTGTGATGATATCAAATTAAAAATGTAAGATATATTTTATTTGTTTATGCAATAATGTGATGATATTAATTTGTTAGGATTAAAATCTATAAAATTATGTAAAAACATTCATTATATGGAAGGTGACATTATTTCTGTAAGGCGAAGACAATAAAATCCTTTCAACTCCAATCTTATGTGATTATATTAGCAATCTTAACTTCTCATGCAATTCTAATCCTACCCCCAGGGGATTCATATATAGTTTCATGATATTTTTTCAGAATCAAACAAGACTTCCGTATCCGATCAAAAAAAAAAAAAAACAAGATTTACGGAAATATTACTTAATTCATTTTCCTTTGCTAACCATCTCCCTCTCCAAATATGCAATCAAGCGTAGCCGTAAAGTGTATTTAGAAAGAAGCATTTTTGCATGGAAAATAAGAATCTGAGTGATAACAATGAATGGATAAAAAAAGGACAAAAAAAATTATTAATATTTGTAGATGCGTTGAGATTTGATTTGTGTTTTTAAGTGAGTGTGGTCTAGAGATAGTGAAAATTGCTGAAAGATCATTCCACTCCAATTACTGGGAGGGTATGGAAAAGGGCATATTGCTGTGCTTTTTGTGGGAGATTGTTCTGAATTTTTTTTGATAATCCGAACCGTTCATAATGTAGGGTTCATTGAGAATATTATTCGTGTAAAAATTAAATTAATCGAATATTCATAACCCCATGATTAGGTCCTAATTATTTTTAAAAATTTATAAAAATTACGTTAACTGTTAATTTTTATAAAAACAAATGTGCTTTGATTATAGAGTTACATATATCTAATCAATTTGATTTTTTGTAAGGACGATCTACTCGATGAATCCTATAATATAAACGATTCAAATTATCAAAAAAACACTTGAGACGACCTTCCACAAAGAGTATAACAGTTACTGCCGTACCCCGTTTCCGGTAGAGAGACATATCCTTATTTCTGAAAATTGCTGGTGTAAGAATTGCATAAAGTTTTTTCAAAATTTTAGACATATCCTTATTTATGTTCAAGTACAAATCTAAGAAAGTAGGCATTATATCTATATGACATATATATTTTTTTATGTTTTAAACATTAAAATTCTATAACTTTTGATATACATATTTATTTTTGATAAAAATTTATATTTTTAACAATTACTCTATAAGATTGATTAAATAAGATCTTAAATGAATATGAAATTATGTAAAATGAAAAAATATAAACTTACATTTTTTTTTTTTTTTTGAATTTGAAAGTGGTAAAACTTTCACTTTTGAAATTTCACAGTTTTTATAAATGTTTTAAAATTTTACTAAGTTTTTTTAATTGAAAACTTTTAAATTTTAAATTTCTAATATACAAGTTCACTTTATAAATTTATTTTTTAGATATAATGATATGCAAGTAATATGATTGATTAATAATTGACAAAATGTAAGAGATAATATTATCTTAGATATCTTAATTAATTATCACATCATCAAGCTTGAAAATGAAATATAATTTTTAAATATGTATAGCAATACCCTAAACAAAAATACATATTCTAAATGACATAAAAACCCATTAAAAACACATATTGACAAAACTATATTCAATCTAATCCTAACATTTGGTCATTACTTAAGCCGAATTGAATTTGATAGTTACTATTAACCCTTACCGTCGAAAAATTTTTAGATGCTTGGAGGATATCATGTGGCATGGTACTTTCAATCAATTACAAATAATTAGGCTTCTCATGTTATTCCTCAATCACCCAACATATAACAGCAATGTTAGGTATCAAGAAAAACCTTTCATGAAAATAATCATGAAAGCTTTGTGACCCTTGAATTACACTTAGAATAAAGCACTACACACTAATCAAGCTAATTTAAGGATCATAAATCTTTTATGATCATTTTTATGAAATTTTTTTTATGATCCCTAACTTTTCTCAACATATAAATATAGAGCAATGTTAGGTATCATGAAAAATCTTTCATAAAAATGATCATGAAAGATTTGTGACCTTTGAATTACACATAGAATAATGCATCACACACTAATTAAGGTAATCTAAAGGTCATAAATCTTTCATGATCATTTTCATGAAAAAAATTTCATAATGCCTAACATTTCTCATAAGTATAACCCCCGGGGCTCTCAACCAATAAGAGAAGCACTACACACTAATCAAGCTAATTTAAGGATCATAAATCTTTTATGATCATTTTCATGAAATTTTTTTTATGATCTCTAACTTTTCTCAACATATAAATATAGAGCAATGTTAGGTATCATGAAAAATCTTTCATAAAAATGATCATGAAAGATTTGTGACCTTTGAATTACACATAGAATAATGCATCACACACTAATCAAGGTAATCTAAAGGTCATAAATCTTTCATGATCATTTTCATGAAAAAAATTTCATAATGCCTAACATTTCTCATAGAGCAATGCTACGTGTCATGAAAAAACTTTCATGAAAATAATCATGAAAAATTTATGACTCTTGAATTACACTTAAAATAAAACACCACACACTAATCAAGGTAATCTAAGGGTCATAAATTTTTCATGATCAGTTTCATGAAAAATTTTTCATGATCCCTATCTTTTCTCTTTCTCATAAGTGTAACCCCCACGCTCTCAACCAATAAGAGAAGAAAAAGACACCACATGTAGCTACCCTCTTTACCGTCACCTATCATCGGCACTCCTAACTCTTTCCTTATTCTTTTTCAATTCTCTCATTGTCGATCTCCACTTAAAGAATGTACCAAACAACATCTGCATTTCTTCAAGAGTTTTACCTTGTGTTTCTGGGATGAGTGTATAAAAAAACAGCCATCCGAGCATGGCCACCCCCATAAAGAGAAAGAAAGCCCCGCCTATGGTGATGGCGTTATAAAGAGAAATAAAAGTCATGGACATAACTCCACTTATAAGACGATTGATAGCCACTCCAAAGCTAACTCCCTGAGCCCGCAGCCTCAGTGGAAAGATCTCTGAGTTGTAAACACTGGGCATGGGCCCCATCCCGATCGAGAACATGGCAACAAACGCTAAAATTGATGAGACCGACAAAACAACAGCCCAGATCAGTTCCTTCTCCGAGTGATCTATCATCGTCAAACTCATCCCTAGACACGCGAGGGACACGATCATACCCCCCATGCTGGTCAAAAGTAACCGTCTTCGCCCCACCCGATCAAGTAAAAACATCGCTACCAGAATGAACATAGTCTTGAAAAATCCAACGGCTACTGTGGCGAGTAGCTTGTGGGATTTGCTAGTTATACCCGCTTTTTCGAATATTTTGGGGCTGTACAGAACCACGGCTTCCACACCGGTCGTTTGTTGGAAGAAGTGAATTCCGACGCCGGCGATCAGGATGTGCCGGACTGCTGGAGTCGGGTGGACCAGGAGCTCCTTCCAGACGTTTTCGCCGCTACGACTGCGAAGCACCTGAACGACGTCGTCGTTGCACTCCTCCGGAATGCCCGCGGCTTCCTTGATGTCGTTGAGCCTCAGCTGAGCCTCCTCTTTGGACTCTGAGATTTTTTCCAGAACTCGCTTGGCGTCGCGCAGCCGACCCTGTAAAACGAGCCACCGTGGCGATTCCGGCATGGCGAGCACTCCCACCGCCAAGAACACCGAGGGAATCGCTCCGATTCCGAGCATGAATCGCCATCCCAAGTTAAGTGGAAGCTTGGAGAACGCAACGTTGGATACATATCCCAACAATATACCTAAAATACAGAAGGTTTATAAATTACTCGTTCTCAATCAGTAACAGAGAGATTGGAATCTAAAAAATATGAAAATACCTGCGTTGATGAAGACTTCGGGGAAGGAGGTGAGGAAGCCGCGGGAGGCGGCGGGGGAGATCTCGGCGGTGTAGACGGGGGCGATCATGAGGGCGTAGCCGACGCCGATGCCGGCAACGAAGCGGCCCACCATGAGAAAGGCGTAGTTGGTGGCGAAGCCCATCAGGATGGCTCCGACGAAGAATATCGCGGCGGCGATGACGATGGTGTACCGCCGCCCCACCCAATCGGAGGTTCTTCCAGCGGCGGCGGCACCCAAGAGGGAGTAGACGCTGAGAATGCCCATCAGGATTTCCAGCTGGACGTCCGAGATCTTGAGGTCATCCTTGATGAACAGTCCTGCTCCGCTCATTACTCCAATATCTGCGTGTTATCAACTTATCACCTGTAAATTTCTTTTCTTTCTTTCTTTCTCATAACTATCTCAAAAAATTTTAGAAAAAAATGTCCAAGATTTATTTTATTTATAAAATGTATGTAATATATAGTATTTATTAAATACAATTAATGGAGTCTCCAGTCCTGTGGGATTTCTTTTTCATCTATTTTCTTCGAAACAAAGATTGAAGAAAAAAAAAAAAAAAAAATTGATATACCCGGACAAATTGGAGCATGAAAAGACGGTATAGATTTACAGACTTATATTTTGAAAGATAAGACTTACCATAACCAAGTAAGATGGAAGTCATGGAAGCTAAAATAGCACAAGCCAAAGCATACTTGTTTCGCTTTGGTTTCTGCGGTGGATCAAAAGCTGGAATAGGTGTCTGAAGCGGGCCGGAAAAGTCATTGTTCTGAGGCTTCCGGTCAACCATTTTTAGAGAGAGAGAGAGAGAGAGAGAGAGAGAGAAAGAGAGGTGAATGAGGGGCTTACTTCACTCGTGACGATGATTGAAAACTATAAGGTCAATTTCACTACCTCATTATCTAATGACAATTTCATTTTAAATATTTATTTTTAAAAAAAAATCAATTATAGCTACTATTTGACATAAACTTATTTAAATAAGTGTACGTATTTAGATAAGTATATTTGTTTCGATCAAATCACTTCTCTACTTTTCTATATATTTTTTTATAAAAAATCAAAAAAGTATATTTATTTAGATCCTCTCATACAATCTCATAGTATATTTGGAATTATTTTCATCTATTTAATTTGAATAATGTTAGAGATATAAAAAAAATTAAACAAAATTTTTGTCAAATATGGTGGTGGGTCACATATGGGGTGGGTCTTATATACCTGTAAGATATTTAGTAGAATATTTCTCAATCTTACGGAGTCTCTAATATTTTTCATTTAATTTTTAAAATTTAAAATTAAAGTTATGGTTGCAATTTCCAAATTAAAAATTATTAAAGTCTAATTTGATGAGTAATAATATCATTTCAATATTCACAAAAAAAAAATGTCATTTCAAAATTAAAAGAATTATATTATACACTCAAATAATTAATTTTTTTGTTACTATTTTGATTCACGATCTTTTAGAAGCCAATGGAGAAGATGAATATATGTTGTAGAGTTTAAGATGTCTCATGGTGTGGCTAAGAAGATGAGTGTTTGATTGTAAAATTATGGTTCTCTAAATTTTATTTTTTTTTATTTTTATTTTTACCAATTTAAGTTTCTATCTTTACTCATTTGAACATTTTGTCTTCAATTGGACTAAATAAATAAATAAATAAATACATTAAAATCAATAATTTAATGATGAAATAAAATTAAAAATTAAAAATTAACCTTCTTTTCACAATTTTTACCCCTCTGTGACTATCTAACAATTTTCCCTTCTATGAAAAATTGTGGCCCTCAAACATTTTTCAATAAATAAATTCCTGCCTTGAGGTGAAACAATCAAGGTAATAATGCCCTGGCATACAAGTATAAAAGTAATACTAAGGATCGTAAACGTTTTACTAAATATTTTATCAAATGTCATATATGGGTGTAGGTCTCACATTTTTGTGAGACATTTGATAAAATATTTAGTAAAATATTTGATAAAATATTTAGAATTACTAACATTTTTCCAAGTATAAAGTTTTATCATAAATGTGGATCATGAAAATTACGAACATACTTAATAAGAGGGTCTTGCTCCAGCATACATTCTCCTTTTTGAGAAAAGGCAGAGATCATGAAATTTTTTTCATGAAAATGATCATGAAATATTTATGATCCTTGGACTACTTTGACTAGTGTGTGGTGCTTTATTTTAAGTGTAATCTAAGGGTCATAAATCTTTCATGATCATTTTTATGAAAGTTTTTTCATGATACCTAGCATTGTTCTTTTATTTTAGGTGCATATACTCTCTCCGTCCCAAAATAATGGTCCCTTTTGGGGAATCTAACTTTTTTTGGTAGTATAATTATTGTACTTTTAAAAAGTTGGTATTCCAAAATTACCCTTTGATAGTACACTTTTTTGAGAATATCAATGTCATAATTGTACTTTTTATATTATTTATGAATTTAAAAGAAGGGCAAAATGGGAAATTTATATTATTTTTGTACTTGATTTTTGAAGAGGGACTAATATTTTGGGACAATGAAAAATGGAATAAGGGACTAATATTATGGGACGGAGGGAGTAATAAATATGGATTATGAAAATTACAAACAATTAATGTATGGTCTTGCTACAATATATCTATCTATATACAGTAATGCTAGGTATCATGAAAAGTCTTTCATGAAAATGATCATGAAAGATTTGTGACATTTGGATTACACTTAGAATAAAACACCACACACTAATCAAGGTAATCTAAGGGTCATAAATCTTTCATGATCATTTTCATGAAATTTTTTTCATGATCCCTAACATTTCTCATCTATATATATAAAATTGTAAATTATAATAAACTCTTGTAAATTATAACATATTTACACTTTGTTCCCTAAACTTTAAAATTTAACGGTTAACGAATATTATCTTCTTACACTTTTTTTCTGAAAAACTTGATATCTGGTTGTGGGATTTCCTAAACGGGGAGGTCTGAGCACGCTCAACAGCTTGAGCTTTAGTTTGGCACCATGAGTGTAATGTGAAACTGAATGAGAGTCCAAGTTTGGCAATTTCATAGAAAATCCACTAATCACAATAACTACTTAAAATATACTGCATCATTAGACTCAAAGTCGTCACCTAATCTTTTGAGAAAAACTAAAAAACCCGTGACTTGTACTCAAAAGCCATGATCTATCGTAACCAAAGTATCTCGACTCGAGAACTTAGGTATAAGGGGGGGAAATATCATGAATTGAGCACACTAACTCATCCAATTTAAGATTGGCCTCTACTATTTTATGATATGAGAATTATTAACACAACATGATCATATAACCCAATTATTATAGCTATCTGTAATATGTGGAATAAACAAATATAGTCCAAATCACCTACTTTGGAATGTTCTAATCTCTTGCTTCTTCTTTTTTTTCTTTTTTTCTCTAGAAAAAAGTGTTAGAAATGTAGAAATCTAATAAAAAATCGAGACATCCGCCTTGCAAAGAGATTAGAATCATTCTAACCTAGACAATGAGACCTCCATACAATTAACAATCAGAGAGATATAGCAAATAAGTACGTAGCCTCATAGTAGCATGCTAAACATAATAAGAAGTAATCACAAGTAGGATGCAAAGATAAAAGAGGTTCACCTAGTACTCCTCCGTACCATGCCAAGAGTGTAAAGGGTTAGAAAGCAATGCATGATCCTAGATGTTAAACTAAATGATATGCAAAGGAAATGATAGAAATGCTTACAGAGTATTCCAACCAAGCAACAATAGAGAATAGGCTAAACTAGAAAATGCATGATCTTATATGCAATATCTAATGCAAAAATCCACACATAATGAATCCTAAGGGGCTTGGGACACTATCAATATGGCATGGATATCAACGAAGCTCATAACTCATAGTTTAACATAGAAATAATGGTCCAAACCCGGATGCATATTCCTATGCTAATCATGGGATCATGATGACAGTAAATTTAAGACTATGCTATCAAAAGTAAAAGAACAAAGAGTAAGGGTAAGAAGAAGAGAAACCCATCCCGACGCATGCAACAATATAATGAATGGAAGCTAAAAAAATGATAACACAAAAAATAAAGAAAGCTCCAACGAAGATGGAGAGGTTCTCTCCCTCTTACACATGAAAATGAGTACGACTATCCAAATCTAGGAGAAATAGTAGGGAGAGGGGAGATCCAATCCATTTTTGTGAAGAAAGAAATATCCGAGCTTATATATTATCAAAGCAACAAAAATGGTAGAAAAGGAAGAAACTCTAATGAGAGGAGGAAGATTCTCATCTTCCTACTCATGAAAAAGAGCATAAACTACTCCAATCCATATGAGATAGGTTCAGGAAGAGAGAAACTCACTCTTCTTATAGAGGAAACTGTGTCTGGGTTTCTGACCTGTAAAATTAAAGAACAAGCAATTTGGGCTTGGCTAAAGCCTCCATACAGGCCTCTACTAACTACAGAAAATGGAGGAGAGAGAGAGAGAGAAAGAGAGAGAGAGAGAGAGAGAGATTAAACTAAACTAGCAACAATTCCAACTAATTAATCCTAATAAATTTCCAAAATATAAGAAATAGACCAGAGATAGGTTTAAATTGAAATGGAAGTTGGGATTACCTCTGTAATAGTACAGATAGGGCTTGAGATTATCACAAACTCTTATCCAAGCTCCCTCTGATCAATAGAGGTCTTCCAAACTCCAAGCAATACAAGCAAAGATAGCTGAAGGTAGTCCAAAATTTGCCTCAAAGTTATCTCTCTCTTTGTATATTTGATTTTAAAATGTTAGAGGGAGTATTAGAGAGTACTAGGGATTAAGAGATTGGCTGAAGAATCTGAAAATTGGAACCCTTTTCCCTGCCAAAAGGAGTGGTGATTTTATAGTCATTTAGGGCATGGAATATACCTCCAGATCCCATGAATCCGGATGGTATATTCCAAGATCCTTTAGACACCTCACAAGAAAATTGCGTGGCTGACACTGAAACAAGATGCGCCCGATAATACTTGTATGGATGATGAAGAGTAGTCTGGCATATTTCCTTAAAAATTTACCCGACAGAGCTAGAAAAGACTCGGAGACACATCCACGGGTCAAAGTTGTTCAACACGTTGCCTGAAAAATGTTTGGTAGAGTAGAAAAAGATCCAAGCATGTGTCCACATCGCCATTCCATTTTATCATAGATGCAATTGATTTTGAATATTGCATTAGAAAAGTTATGCTTTGAGAAAGGAAACTGTTTTGTGAAACAAGATCATATTGATTTGTTTTGGGGGTAAATACATTGGTAAGTCCAGATAGAGGGTGTTGTTGATATTGGTTAAGTTAGCCTAAGTGTCCATGGTGAAAGACCGAAAACACGCGTGGAGAAGGTGCCGTGTCTTCTGGTTAGCAACCGGTTAAGTGGGAATTGGTAGTGATTCTTATGCCTATTTGTAGACACCAACCTAGGGATTACCTGAGTCGTATTTACCCCTTTGACCTACATTAAAATCATTGAATTATTAAATTCTCAAATTGCATTGTGCACAAAGGTTTCAAAAGATAGAGATATATGTTTTTGAAATGGCATGACATTTGCATTCATCTCAGAAGATTATATAAATTGTATATACTTTATTAAGATTTTTTTTACAGGACTTTGTGCTCACCCTATGGGATTTTGTGCAGGAAATGATGTGGTGATCCTGCCAAGTTAGAGGTGTGAAATATATTTTGAAAGCACAAGGCTCTTTTTCTTTTGTTGTAATTATTTTTGACATGCCAAGGACTTTATTTGTAGGGGTTCAAAAACTGCTTTTGTGTAACCGGACTTAAGTTTTGGAATTTGTAGCCC